GGGGGGAGTGGGCTGCGGGGGAACGGTGCCCGTGGTGTGAGGGGGGGTCCCGGCTTTGTTTATTGCTGTGAAGTGCGGTGAAGTGTAGCCCTGGCAGCCGTTCGGGCCATCTCTTAATTCCAGACTTCGGGCTCGCAGTGGTTTTTGCACACTACGCGATTATTAAATTCGTGTTTGTGCAGCCGCTCACCTCCTTTTCTTATAGTCCGAAATAGCTATCTCAGGTAACGGGAGTTGACACTAAATGGGATTCCTGTGGGTTGACTGCTGTAAGCCTTATTCACGCAAGTAAGATCTATGTGCATGAGTAAGATTATTTTATTATTAATTTTTTTTTTGCAGAATGATTTTGCATGTTTCCACCCCGAAGTGTATGATCTCTGATAGCTTTTGCAGAAGATGGGCTTGTCCGTTTCAATTTTTGTATGCGTGTATGTGCGCGCAGTCGCTGTTAATTTTGGCAGCTCGTAAGTGACGGTTGGTAAAGGTCCGGTGTCTTCATTTCTTCAAGAATACATTAAGTTGGAGGTATGCCAGTGTTTTAATATTGTAAAAGCAACAAAAGAGACAGCCTTAGAAAAAAGATCGAGGAAATGATTTAGCTTTCCTAATGTTCATCGTTTCCAGCCAGCATACTTTTAAGCATTTCATTTTAAATTACAGGAAACAATCAGTTTTTGCATTTACCAGCATGTTGATTAATAACGGAAAGATAGGTCTAAACTAAATTTTGATGCTTCATTTAAAATAAATGCTTTCCATTTCTTCTGTCTCACACACCTGTTAGCTTTTAGAAAAAATAAGATTATAAAGTGATGATTAGGCAGCTTTCTTACAATTTGAATAAAGGGAATAGTTCCATATAGGCCAGCTGTAGAATACTGGACACGCTTGGCATCTAGTGCATAGTTGGATGTAGAGCTGTGGTGCTGCCCAGCAAAACTGTTCTTTGCTGAAGCGTAGCGTGTCCAAAACTTAGTTCTGGGAGTTAGAGGAATGCTGCGTACAATCCTAGTTTCTCTATGATAGTCTATTAATATGTGACTTACTGTGAAACATGTATTGACAGGGATTTCATATTTGTAATATACACCATTGATTGAATGACTTAATGCTTCATCTTTCTTTTTCTCATTAATAATCTAATTAGGGGAAGACTCTGGAAGGAATATGGAATTAAGACACATCCCCAGTGGATACGCAGTAAAAAAGACACTGCAAAGCAGACAGTGTAAGAGGAATTTCCAAAAGTACTCATCACCCAAGACAGAGCCAGATTTTGAGCACTCCTAGCATTGTGTTTAGGCTCCAGAGTAAATTGGTAGATTTTCGCATCTTTCTTTTCAGTTCTCAAACTTCTGTATCCAGAGTTCTTTGGGGGACCTTGAGGGAAATGTAGCTCTGTAAGCCAAGTTCTGAGTCTTCAACAGTTAAAGAAAATCAAGCCCTGAGCACTTCAGAAAATCTGGTCCTTGGGTTACAGTCATACCTCCCTCCCCCCATGTCCATTCTAGAGGCATTTCCTTTTAATTTTTATGACAGATAGAATTATAGTTGTAAAAAGTAGCCACAATAAAGACAACCAATAAAATTACTTTAATAGTTAGGGTTTTTTTAATGTAAAAGCTAGTGGGATTAATGAACAGCTCCATAAATACACACGATAAAATGCAAGATCAGTAATAGAACTGTAAGAGGCACTTACTCTTTGAACAAAAATAATAGGTAATGACTAAAAATAGTATTCCCCATTTCAACAATTGAGTTAAATATTGTAATGGATATTAACTGCAACAAGGTAGATTGGTCCAGAGCTGAAGGCTCTGACCATTCGTACCCACTGACCTTCTGGCCTACTTCTTTATTTTCCTTTGAAGCGTCACTCTTGCGTGTGTGTTTGATAATAAACCACAAATGCAAACCAGAAGGCTATTCTTAAAAGGGAAAAATCAGAGCTTTTTTGCTGCACGTTAGTGGCACTACAATTTCTAGAACATATTCTGATCTCATGTGTTCAGGTTGTGCCTAGATTTACGCAAATAGTTGGTCCCACGCATGGGCAAGAACGTCCTTGCACCAAAAGAAAACGATTAGGTCTGGTTCTGGTAGCTTAAGTGTTCAAAGCGTTTCAACATCACTGCTAGATAAATGCCACCATATTAATGTCGATGAAAAATTTGCCTCTCGGATAGCCCTGGCCACAGCCTCTCAAGGAATTGTTGAATTATGAGACCTGGTAATTATCTGCGTACATCTGTGGCCCGGGACTCATTGACACTGAGCACAAAGAAGAGAAGAAAATGACAAATGTTTGTCCAGAAGCACGTCTTCTCGGTGGCGTTTGCTTTCCCCCTGGTTTCTTAGGATAAGACTGGCAAGTTTGGGTTGTGGAGAAAACAGTAATTAATTAGCTAGTGCATCTCCAGCCCTTGGAAGACGGAAAATGCTGTATGGGGATGATTTGAATTAAGTGCTGTTATTCCCTGCTATTAAAGAAATTGCTTGCCTGCTCTGCGTCTCAAGTTGAAGTCGTAGGCGATTTTAAAGCATTATTTAAACTGTGGTTTAGGTCTCTTTAAGCAGAAGGACCAGAGAAAGTCTTTCAGTTGGAAAAAATAATAGGAAAAGATTTTCTTGTTTAAGCCTTTTGTTTAGTAGCTGCAAAATCTGTGTATATGGGAGGGAGGAAAAGGGAGTCGAACGGAGCTGAGGGAGGAGCTGTGGTGTGAGGTAAAATTCTGATATTGTTCTCTCATGCCACCCCGCAAATACATTTGCATTTAAAATTTCCAGGCCAGCCAAACTGTAGGACCAGTGCGGAATGCTAAACGAAACCTGAAAACTAACTCGGAAAATGCCACATAATGATGCCGGCCATTCCCTTGCTCGGACAATTGGGTTAAAGATTGTTATTTGTAATGATTATGGATCTGAAACAAAGACAGGTGCAGGAAAAAAAGAGGGGACATCAATTTTATTCCGAGCTATTTTCACTTGAAAGATGTTTATTTTCTGTCACATTACCCTGTGACTGCTGGAAGACTCACAGGAACTGCAAACCCCAAATCCCTTCCTGCCCATCAGCTAGCCACAATATACTCCTTTGTGTCTCTCAGGCTGAAATTCAATCTGCTTGGGAGGCTGACGAGTGGTTCGGGGCACAGTTGTGATCTGAAAGATATTGGGTATCACCAGGGAGGTACCCTTTATGCCACTTGTGCAAGCAGACAAAGCAGCAACTCTTTGGGGGAAACTTGGTGATGCATCTCCTGTATAAGAATAAAATGTATTTATGCTCAGTGGCGGCGTGATGTAGAAGCCAGGATGATGACAACCGAGGAAAGAACATGAAAGGCATCAGAAGAGCTCAGTGCGTTACACCTTTTCATGTGTAAAACTTGTGTGTCTGCAGTTATTGGCAATGAATTCTGCCTCTGCAGACAGTCCAACGGTGCAGAACAATCTGAGGAGACTGAGGGATAGAAACAGGAAAATAAAACGAATGATAGGTTAACGTGTGTACTGGGCATGAAAGAGCACAGGCAAAGTCACAGGGCTGAAGCAAATCAAGGGCCCGTGGTCGGGCATGGCTGCTGCAGCAATGCAGTAATACAAGGCAGCTCAGTTGTCCGTGATACCCGGGTTATGCACGGAAGAATAACAGGCTTTACGTGGGCAGTGTGGATGCATCCACCTCCCTGGCTTAAATATAGGGCGCCTGCCCTTTGAAAGTTTGAGAGGAAAGAGAAAGAGCTGATTAGGAAAGCAAAGGGACTGATTTCTGAGGAATGATTAAAAATGCTTAATATAGATAGATTATCTAAGAACCAGAGGTACCAACAATCCAGGTGTGGATACTCAAGAGGTAATCACTTAACCTTTGCAACAGGGTGCAACTAGACTTAACGGGCTGCAAAAGAGAAGGTGACTTGAACGTCAAGAAAAGCTTCTTGATGGAATGAAGCCGAATAACCTTCCATGAAAAATGCCTGTAGCGTTGTTGGTTGGGGTTTTGCAAAGCTCATAGAGAGCCCTGAAAAATGTCCTGCAGGGCTGGCAGCTTAGGGTCACAAATTCCCTGCCTGAACCGTGCCCACGGATTAGGATGAAGTTTTTGGAAACAAGGCTCTTTAGTTAGCAGGCCAACTCCCCTGCTTGGAGTCAACTTCTCAAGTCCTCTGTGCGGTCTGCTGGAAGGGACAGTCATGCTCTGCAAGTTTGGATTAGATGCTGATAGGGAGGGAAATGGGCTGGAAGAATTAATAGCTTTAGCTCATAGGAGTCTGTGATCCAGGAAAATATGAACACTTACCTTGCTGGCAGCCAAAATACACACTGTTATTCTGCATTATTCTGTAAAACAAATGCTGTAGCATCTCATATGCCTTTCTGGTCATGCAGTGAGGGAGGATGGGAGGAGGAATGTGATGGAAGACGCTTTCCTGCAGTGAGCACAGCAGGCAGGGCTAGAAATATTGCTTGGTTTACATTGACTCTGTTATTTTGTGTCCCTGGATCCATGTTGAATTCTCCTCTTCAGAAAAAGCTAGAATGCAACAGGCTCGAGGTGTTTTCCTGCTTTAAGTTCCAGCCATTATCAGCCAAAAAAAAAAAAAAAAAAGATATATTCTTGGACAGTAGTTACCTCTTCCTTTGCTTACTCCTGTAATAGACACAACATTGTGTACTTACCTAAATGCGAAGAGCAACTTCAAAGGGGTGCGCAGCTCTGCTGAAATTGTAGGTGATGCACAAACAGATTAGAAGGGCCGAGGGTGATCAGGTCAGGGGAGAGACTGCTGCTTTGGATCAGCTCCAGCAGTTCTTCAGTCCAGGATCTCCTGTTTGCTTATTGTTTGGGTTTAATCAATTTCTTTGGGATTAAAGTATTTTTTAGAATGCGGTTCCAAGAATATAAACAAGTAGCGATTTTGAACTTAGTTTTATGGCATTATTGTATCCTAGTGATTATTGTCCACTTCCTCTCTTCAGGTACAAGGTGGGTCAGTTCATGAAAAGTCTGATTAAAGAGACCACTGAATAGTATGATGTATGATGGTACAATAATGTGCCTCTCCCGGGTAGTTTGATGTCTTAACATGTAATCTTTCTTCTGGTGGATTTCTTCTTGTATCCCAGAATAAACCAGAGTTTATATAAATTAGACGTGCTCTTACTGCAGAACAGGTGGAGTTATAAGTGCTCCAAGACGGTATGTTGTTGCTAAATAGGGAGGAATATTTTTATTCTGATTCATAGTGGCTGCTTTAAAAATTGGAGACAGTTTG